GTATTAAATAAATAGGAGGTTCTTGACAAATACTTTTTGTATGATCTGACTGAACAAACAGGTATACCATTTACCATGTCTTCACCAAAACTGGATTTTAGTTGTCAGTAACTGGAATATGATTCACCCACAAGTGTGCCATTAATTGGTTATAAATGTGTTGATGCCCAGAGTTCTTGAGCAGCCTCCTGGGGTGTGTGTCAAAGCCTCTAGGCAGAATCCAATAACCACAATCAGCCTAACCCACTAACCTTAGTGTATCTTGCAAACATTCTTTTATTAATAATGGTTCCCTTAATACAAAATAGACTGTGTTGTGTAATATAGTAATAATAGCATTATTTCTAAATACATTATATGTAAGAAAAAAATGCAGTACTCTACTTCCTCAGTTTCACTTGTTGATAAAATAACCTAAAATAGTCCATAGAGGTTATAATTTAGCTTTCTTACATACCCCATTCAGACTCCTCAAATATTCATAATAGTCTCAATAGTATCATTTAGCAACACAACCGTCCTAAAATAGTGTATTTTGATTATATTTTGCATTTCAAAGCACTTTTTATATAGAAATCAATTTTATGCAACTTATATCAATACCCTAAGATAAAAGAATAGCCAAAGGTTATATGTAAATTACTAATTATCTAAAGGAAGGAAAACTGATTTACTGCTTAATTTATGTTAGCTCATCTGTTAGGCAAATATCTATTCTGAAAGTAATAATAAATTGTCCACATCTATTTGAGATAAATGTTTCATATTAAATAATATAATAAAAAACCAGCTTCTAAGAATAACGAATTTCTCTCATTTTGATTAGAAAACTATGGGTCTTATATAGAATTGTTTAAACAATTATGTACAGTTTTTGAAAGTCAAAGATAATGTTCCAATTATGGACTTCACTAGAGTCCACAATGTCAGTACATGAGCATGAATTTTAAAAAAAAAAGAAGTTAATATTTTTACTGAGGCACTTTCAAAGAAATAGTCTAAATAGAATCTTCCTAACCTGTACGTTTATGGAAATTCATGTTATCTTACAAAGATAACTTGGCATATTTAAGAAAAAAAATATGCTTTTATATTAATATAAACAGAAAAGTTTACTAGGACAATATTAAAAATAAAGATAATCAAAAGGGAAATTTCTAAGATATCTGATGATATTTTTAGTTTTTTAATTATAATCTTATATATTTTGCTTGAAAATAATGACCATGTGTAGACTTTAAATTTGGATGCTATTTTACAATCTTTAAACTTTTAGTAGTTGTAAAATTTGGGCTTCTAAGTTATTGCAACTCAGTTTCCAAATTAGAGTCAAAGTAGTAAATACTAATTGCTCTAACTGCACTCAGTGGAAGGCCAGCACTGGAGTGCCAAAAGTCAGTACCATTCCTTAACACAATACAGTACAAATTTATGCTTGTATAATATTATATAATGACAATACAGTTATATAGTCTTTCTATACCAACATAAAAAGTATTTATAAACACATGTAATTTTTTTCTATTTAAATGAAGTAAAAAGTAGCAGAAACCAAATTTTATTATTATTTTCCATTTATTTTCATATTTCAAACACTTTATAACATGGCCTAAAGTATTCTGCCAACATTTTAATTTAACTCTCTAAGATTATAATTCAGCTTGCTGTGTCTTAAATTTCTTACTAAAATCTTCAGTCATTTTCCTTATATTGCTATTATAAATTTGAGTAAGAATGACGTAGTTTTTGTGAAGTACTCTACTGGAGTGTGGTTCTATAATTATTTCTCAGAACTACATACCTGGATTGGTATCCTGGAATTCTTAAAAATATCTCTCTAAAAGAATATTCGAAGTGTATTACTCCATTATAGAAATAAATAGTAAACAGAAATGATACAAAATGGTCAAAATATGAGATATCATGAAGATACTAGTTGTACATTTTGACTCCTCATCAATAAATGTTAAATATTATTTTGAAGTTTCTAAATAATTTAGAGATGATAATTAGAATTTTATAGTTAAATTCTAAAATATACAAAACTGGGTTATACAGAGCATGCTACCTTTAGTGTAAATAATGTAGAAAAAGAACACATGTTCACATTGCTTCTGTATTTATAAAATAACTTCAGAAGAATACACACACAAAAAAAACTAATAATACTGGTTGGCTATAGAAGGGAGAGAATTGAATGGCTGGGCAACAGGAGTGATAATTTTGATTTCTGAAATATATAGATATATCACCTATCAAAATATATATAACAACAAGTAAACAGCATATGTAAAACAAGTAAAAGGCATAAAAATGATGCTTGATTTGATATCAAACTGCCCATGTTTATTTTGGATAAAGAAGAGATGACTTCTAAAAATCTCTTCCATTACTAGAATAAAATTTTATGTCACCAAATTGCCAAAGAAATGGAAAACATATGTCTGGAAAAAGATATAAAAAAGAAATTATCCTCATCTCTAGCTACTCAAGGAACAAGAACACATTGGCCACACAAAATGAATTTGAATGGGCTGTAGGAATAAAGAATGAAGCTTTCATTGATTAACCTCATTCAAAGTACTGGTTATGCTCTGGAGTAGAAAACCAAATACCACATGTTCTCACTTATAAGTGGGAGCTAAGATATGGGTACACAGGGGCACACAGAGTGGTACAATGTACATTCAGAGACTCAAAAGGGAGGAAGGTAGGGGACTGAGGAAAGAAAAACTACCTAGTAGGTGTAATGTACACTATTCACATGACAGCTACACTAAAAACCCAGGTATCATCACTACACAATTCATCCATGTAATCACAAACCACATATACCCTTAAACTTATCAAAATAAAAAAAGGTTTAAAAATCATATTATCTGCAGAGGGAAAAAAGTATCAATTACAATATAATAACAGTGAATTTCAGACTCAAAATAATTAATATACTATAATAGTTAATAGTTTTTGCATTAGATTCATGTGAATCTAGTACCATGTTCATTCAATACACTCTAATAATGGTTTATCTAAATATCACAATTAAAGTACATGAATTATTTCAGTGAATTACAACAAACTAAATTAGGCCTTAATTATACTGGCATCAAAAGAATTTAAAAATAAATAAATATAATATACTGTGCAAATATACCTAGTATTCCAGGTAATTTCTAGATTAAGGACAGTACATGAAAATGCAAATTTAGGTTGCTTCCAGTACAGATATGACTCTTGGAAATGAGGAGGAAAGTAGAATTATTTCTTTAATAGGGATAAGACAATCAACTGGAATAGGCTTTTCTCAAATTATACTATTTTGAAATGTCCTCTTTGGTTGAGAATCACTGTTATAATGAACAACTGCTAGTGATGGAGTACACACAATATCTGAATCATTCAACATATTACCTATTTTCATGTTCTTTATAGTATGGCTGAATTATTATGAAAACCAGTTCTTCAAGATGCAGATATTATTGTAAAAGCATTTTTATTCTGAGATAAAAATACAACATAAGTGACTAAAAGAACTGTATACTAGTCAATGACTAAACTTATTTTTGGACAATTAATAAGCAAGACATTATAATAACTATGTTTGAGTCATAAGAAAATAATTTTGTTGGAAGCTTTTCTTAAATTAGAACCAGTATAATGTATTTTAAAAGCTTACAATGAGAAGAAATTTTAGCTCATAAAATATACATACTGCTCAATTCCATATTCAGTTTAAAGGTGTATTTGAATGCCTAAGTGTTAACACTATATAGCTAGCAAACAAATTCCCTTGTAAGGGGAGGTGGGTGGTAGCAGGAGGAGAAATGCTCAACACAGATGTGAATATTATAGCACAATTCTTTAAATGGGGACAATTCTGTATTTTAAGCAACAATTGACAAAATGATGAATAGTTAATATGGAATGTTGGTAGCATTATCACCTACACACTCAATTTTTAATGTGTCAAATGCTGTCAACAAAATTCAGAGAAACTCTATTGCTATCATTTCACAATACTTTATGCAATACAAAGACTCATATGCGATTGCTTTAATATATTATTTTAGCAAAAACAATGCAAAGTCATATAAACAAGAAATTCTTCTTTTACTAACCAAGTATTTAGATCTATAATCCAGAACAAATTGGTTGCTAGTCATCTGATAGATTTAAATAAAACAAAAATGGCTTTTCCTTTTAAACCTCCATTTTCTATGTTTTCCCACGTAAATGACTGTCAATGAAAAGCTGCTATGGTCAGACATCAAAGATAAGATGTAATTTACTTGCCTTGCTATATCATACTAATTACAACTCCATTTACATTACAAAACACCAAAACTAAATAATTGGTTAAAGTGTGTGATTTTGTTATTTTAAGTTCAATTAACTATATGGTTGCCCTATCTACATGATTCAATCAACTATAATCTAGTGCACCAGTGGAAGGATTGGCTATAGTTTGAAGCACTGACAGAAATAGTAGCTCTACAACAAAAGGCATGAATATAAACTGTATGGATACTTCTTACTCTATAGGTACAAAAGCCCCAGTGAAGCAAGCAAATATCCTTTAAAGAATTGTCTACATTTGTAGAACCCCAAAGCAATCGCCGCAGCAACAAAAATAAATAAGTGGGATCTAATCAAATTAAAAAGCTTCTGCACTGCCAAGGAAACTATCATTAGAGCGAATAGACAGCCCACAGAATGGGAGAAAATATTTGCTCTCTACACATCTGATAAAGGGCTGATAACAAGAATCTATCTAGAACTCAAAAAAATCAACAAGAAAAAATCAAACAACCCCATCAACAAATGGGCAAGCGAAATGAGCAGAAACTTTTCAAAAGAAGACAGAATAATGGCCAGCAAACATATAAAAAAATGCTCAACATCTCTAATCATTAGAGAAATGCAAATCAAAACCACAATGAGGTATCACCTAACCCCAGTGAGATTGGCCTCTATCAAAAAATCAGAAAACAACAAATGCTGGCGAGGATGTGGAGAGACAGGAACACTCTTACACTGCTGGTGGGACTGCAAATTAGTGCAACTGCTGTGGAAAAGAATTTGGAGATACCTCAGAGAGCTAAAAATAGAAATACCATTCGATCCAGCAATAGCACTATTAGGCATCTACCCAAAAGAGCACAAGACATTCTACGATAAAGACATCTGCACCCGAATGTTTATGGCAGCAAAATTCACTATTGCAAGAATGTGGAAACAACCCAAGTGCCCGTCAATCCATGAGTGGATTATTAAAATTTGGTGTATGTTTACAATGGAATATTACTCAATCATAAGAAACAACAGTGATCTGGCACCTCTTATACTTTCCTGGATTAAACTTAAGCCCATTATCCAAAGTGGGGCACCATAAGAGCAGAAGAACGGGATCCATTTGTACTCGCCATCAAATTGGTACTAACTGATCAACACTAGGGTGATCACATGACAGAAATACTCTCTAGGGATTAGGGGGATGGGGGGGCAAATCTACAACTAAAGGACACGGGAGCACTAAAGGGAGGGAAGGGCATGCCTTTAACCCGCATTTGGGTCAGGCAAAGACATAAAGTGTAACTATAATGTTTGTACCCTCACAATACCCTGGAATAATAAAAAAAAAAAAAAAAAGAGTTATCTACATTTGTTGTTTTAAGTTCTCTCCTCCTCCTCCTACTACTACTGCTCTGTTTCTCTCTGTCTCTCTCTGACCCTCTATCTCATTTTATCTCCTTTTTTAAACAGTTTATTGAGATTTGATTTACATACTGCTACAGTTTGGATATGTGAAACTCCAAACCTCATATTAAATTTTGATCCCCAATATTAAAGGAGGGGCCTAGTAGGAGGTATTTGGGTCATGGGGCCAGATCTCTCATAAACAGATTAATGCCCTGGGACAGGGGAGAGGGGTGGGAGGAGGGTGAGTGAGTTCTCACTCACTGTTAGTTCCTGGAAGAGGTGGTTGTTTAAAAGAGTCTGGCACCTCCCTCCCCTCTCTCCTGCTTTCTCCCTTGCCATGTAATCTCTGCAGAAACCAGTTACCCTTCCCCTTCTGCCATGACAGGAAGTAGCTTTAGGCCCTTTACGGAAGCAGATGCTGGCATCATGCTTCTTGTACATCTTGCAGAGCTATAAGCCAAATAAACCTCTTTTCTTTATAAATTACCCAGCCTCAGGAATTCCTTTATAGCAACACAAAAGGACTAAGACATGTACTATACAATACACCCATTGGGATGTACAATTCAATGATATTTAATTTAGTCATAAAGCTGTACAACAATCACAATCTAATTTTAGAACATTTTCATCATCCCAAAATGATACCCTGTACCCATTACCAGTCACTCCCCATCCAACACTCTACTCCTCCCTCCCAATACCCACCCACAACCCAAGGCAACCACAAATGTACTTTCTCTATCAATTTGCCTACTGTTTGTAAGGTTCTTCCATTGTTATAACACGTGTTAGTACTTCAAATTCCTCTTTAATGCAGAACAATATTACACTGGCATTTGGGATGTTTTCGCCTTAAAGCTATTTTGAGTAATGGTGCTATGAACATTAATGCACAAGTTTTCGTGTAGACCAGTGTTTTTATTTCTCTTCAGTGTATACCTAGGAGTGGAATTGCTGGGTCATATGGAAACTTTAACCTGTGGGAAATGATTAGACTGTATTACAAAATGGCTGCACCATTTCACATACCCAAAAAACAACATGAGGGTTCTCCACAAACTCACCAATATTTGGTGATAATTGGTGATATTTATTAGTGAATATTGGTGATAATTATTGGTGAATAATAACATATATTATCACTGATCATAACCACCCTGGCAGTATCTTATTGTAGGCTTGATTTCCATTTCCATGATGGCTAATGATGAGCATCTTTTCATTTTTATGAGTTTATTGGCTACACACACACACACACACACACACACACACACACACACACACACACACAGTTGTCCCTCAGTATCCACGGGGAATTCATTCCAGGACCTTCCCGCATGGATACCAAAATCTGCAGATGCTCAAGTCTCTTTACATAAAATGGTGCAGTATTTGCATGTAACCTATGTACATCCTCAAATATACTTTAAAATATCTCTAGATTACTTATTATACCTAATACCATGCAAATTCTAAGTAAATAGTTTTTATACTGCAATATTTTATTATTGTATTTAAAAAATTTTTATTTCTGAATAGTTTCTATGTGTGGTTGGTTGAATCCACGAATGTGGAACCTGTCAATACCAAGGCCTAATTTATATACATATATTTTATATTATATGGAGAAATGACTATTCAAATTTTTTGTCCATTTTTAATTGGGCAATTTGCCTTTTGATTGCTGATTTGTAAGAGTTCTTTGGATATTTAGATATGTCTCATCAGATATATGATTTACAAAAGTTCTCCCCCATTCTTGAAGTTATCTTTTTGCTTTCTTCCTGTATCTTTTAAAGCACAAAAGTTATTAATTTTCATAGATTTCAATTTGTCTTTTATTTTTTTATTTGTGCTTTTGATGCCATATGTAAGAAGATTTTGAAAGGTCAGGAAGATTTATTCCTATGTTTTCTTCTAAGGGTTATACAGTTTAGCTCTTACACGTAGGTGTATTGATCTCTATTGACTTAATTTTTGTGTATGATATTACATATCAACAACAATAGTAACAGTTAACATTTATTGAAGTCTAGTAAGTAAAACACAGTGAGGTGAGCACTTGGCATGTATTAACTCACTCAGTACTAAAAATCTTATAAAGTACAATCTACCTTATTTTATTGATTCTAAGACACATTTTTTTTCAAATTTTAATATATCTGAAATCTAATGTATTTTACAATCAATGATGTTGTAAAATCACTGCTGGCCAGATGACGGTTGTGATGTAGTTGTCATTGCCTGCGCAAACTTGATTATTCCAGTCAATGACACTATATGAAACATAGAAAACATTTTCACCTGTGTCAAAAAGTGATTTATGAAAACTTGGACTATGAAGGTGAACGAGTTTTAGCAACACTTTAACCAATTTATTTGCTTCTATTTTCCTTCCTATGTATAAATATGAATGATAGATATAAAATCCACATCTAAATAATTCTACAAGAGCCCTTTCAATAAGTACAAAATATTCTTAGCAGTAAGAGAGCATTGTCCCATAGTTGACTGTATACTGTTTTTTTCTTTTTAAGTGGTAAATAAAATAATGATTGATTCTATCATAGCATTAGATGAAACACAACATATTGGCCCTACAAGAAATAGATGCATAGGTTATATTACAAGTGGGCAATTAGGAAATCAAAACAGTTCAAACTGAGGTGTGTTTAAAGTTCTTTGTATGGTTCAAAGAACTTGGATTTTTGAATATGACAGACCTGGTTAAATTACAGTTTCTCCATTTTCTAGTTGTAAGTTTTGAGCATTTCACTCAATTCCCCTTAATTCCCTAAAAATGTAGCCTCTGTCTTTTTTGTTATATCCTCAGTATTTATCAGTTTGTCTGGGATATAGCAAGACCTCAACAGTTGAATTGAACAAAACAAAAGCATTATATTTACAATAAGATCTTTGGAAACATGTTTACACAGCAAGAATCAATTAATTTTCAAATTCTATTGCTTCCATATATATTTGACTTCTCAAAACAAGTTATTTTTAAGTAGAATATTAATTTTAAAACTACGATGATATAAATAGGTATGCTGAAAATCTGTAATTTCTAGCCTTTAAGTGGAAAAATGAATACAATTATAGTGTGTAATTCAGTAAACACCAAATGATAAACAAAAGTAAGTTTACACTGAGGCCATTAACTACAAATTTATGTACAATATTTACTAATGGTTTAAAAAAACATGTTTTATGGAAAAATTTATCTATATATTAAAATGATTAAACATTACACAAAATTCAAATTTTTGAAGTACTAAGAAAAAAATCTATAAAAGGTTGCATGAAGTACTTAATCAATTAACTTTAATTTTCCACCTCAAATAACATTTTCTCATTCTTGTCACTCTACACCCAATCCCCTCTCTGTAAATAAGTTGAATGTCTAAGGAGGTAGAGTAGCCCAATTTGTAAAGCACTGCTGCATTATATTAATAACATTAGATGAGAATCCATTTACCAAAAATTTAGCATTTCAGAGAATATTTTATAATTGATTACTGTCTTTACCCATGAAATGTTATTAGGGAAGTATAATTTCATACTATTATTTCTTATCTGTTTTTGTGCCTGTAAAACAGTTATAGAAGGAAAGAACTAGTGTATTTGCCTCTAGAAAAGTAATTTGCTATTCAAAATCTACTAGAACCCTACTTATGGGTTTTAGCTTATTATTTTTAACTCAAACTTCATGTTGATAATAATAAATACAAATTGAGGTTTTGTTTCACTATTATGAACTGTGAAGGGAAGTAGAGCATCACAAACACAAGTTCAAACATTGATTGGGTATCCCAGGTAATTTTTTTGTACTGACGTTTAAGCATAAGAGAAGCATAACATATTTAAAAAGATAAAAAATGCTGTGATAAAGTTCTACATTAATTTTTTTTAACTTTTAAAGAATTGTAAATTTAAGAGAATTAAGAAGGAAAAATTGCTGGCACAGGAAATGTAGTGATCATTCAAATACTCAGATTTAATAGTAATATTAAGGTGATATAAAAATAACCCTACTGTTGTCTCTTCATCTATTATTCTGTGGATTTTGCACTTAGATTTTCACTGAGACATATGACAGTTAAACCACTCAAAACATGTGAGAATAAATGTTTCCAAATGAAAAAATTTAACTTCTTGTCACTATTATGATATTCATGACATTTTCACTCACATTAGTCAAATATATAAGCAAATACATTCATTGCAAGGGATAATTATAATATTTTCATTTTGTATGCCTTATGATACCTATTAAAATTTAAATTTCAGTTTAAAAATAAAGATTATTAAGCATGAAAAATATT